AAAAATGAAACCCTTCCCGGGACACCGCCAGAGATTATTCCTGTCCCTCTTGACTCGTCTTCTGGGCTCTGTCTGTGTGCCTCTGAGCCACAGACTTATGTGGTTGTCCCTGGGGTTTTCAGCTTTAGGTGTCACACTGGACTTCCTATGTGAAGATCAAGGATGTCACCGTCCCTCCCCACCCCAGCCTCCCAGTAAAGCTGCATTACTCTTCGGTTCCACTGGAATCGACATTTCTTTATTACAGCTGTGTTGTCATCATCATGCCCAGCCATTTCCTTCCTGTTCTTTCGCCTTGTTTCCCCCTCCTTGGAGTTCATAATTCCGCTTTTCTGTTTGGCTGGTCCTCTGTGTACCTAGTGTGGCACTTCCTGTGCGCTCTGCTGGGTGTGCATGAGTCTCACTGTGAGGCCTTCCTGCCGCCTCTAATCGAGACCTGGGTCTGGGGCCCCTGACCATAGGATTATCTTCTCTGTCAATCTGGGGAATTCCCACGGACTGGTATTCCCTGACTCAAGGGGTGGCTTCCTCTTTCCTGATTTGCTCCTTTGTTTATTGGGAAACATCCTTCATTCGCTTCCTGGGAAAGGGTCCAGGAGAGGGATATTTAAAAAAAAAAAATCTTCCCTGCCTGGAAATGATTGTTATTTTTCATTCCCCTGTTTGGATGGTTTTACTGGGTAGAGAAATCTAGGTTGGAAACCTCTCTCCCTCGGAATTTAAAGCCTTTTTCTGGCTTTGAGTGTTGACGGTAAGAAGTTGGATGCTGTCTGGTTCTGGCTGCTTTCCCCCACCTGGGGTTGGGGGGTTCTTTTCCATCCCCTGGCCAGACATGCAGTAGGGTTCTTTCAGGCTGAGGACGTGCTTCCTAGACTCCAGGACATCATCTTAGGGCCCGCAAGGCCATGCTCCACCTTCTTGTCCTCTGTACCCAGGGGCATCCCCAGGTCCCCTCCATTCCTTGCCTCTGTCCCCTCTTGGCTCTTGTTCTGGTTCACAGGACCTCGCCACTCTCCCTCTCCTGCCCCCTTTGTTGTTTTTGCTTGTTTGATTTTTGGGAGCCTTTTCTTCTAGGATATGCTTTTCATGCCGTCCTTGCCAGCTCCTGCCTACGGCATCTCTTCCCCCTGAGAAGACTCGCCGTGTCTTGTTCTGTCGTTTTGTCTTCTCCCTGGCATGTGGCGGTCTCGCCTGTGTCCCCTCCTCCTTGTTCTGTTCTGCGTGGCCCCTGCCTAGTGGAAGCTTGTCTGAAGACAGGTGCACCATGGTAGCCTTTAGGCGCAGGAACAAGGTGGTGGGGACCAGGACTTGGACCAGGCCTTAAGTGGGCTCTGCTGGTGAGACCGGCCTCCTCCCCCAGGGAGCCTCCCAAGGGTGCCGCAGGGGCTGCCTCAGGGGCAGAGGACACAGAGCTTCCTGCAGCCTCCCCAGCCCAGCAGACATTTAGGGCATGGACTGGATCCTTGTGTCCCCTGGGGTCTGGGGTCCAGGGATCCCAGGGGCCCATGGACTTCTCACACTGTAGCCATCTCTGGTTCTGCACAGCTGCCCTCTGGCCCCTAGGCCTGTGCTTTGACTTCAGGGACCAGCACTGGGGGACAGTGGTGAGGGTCCCTGGCCCTCTCGGGGTCCCGTTTGGGCTCTCCAGTAGAGCCATCTGTCAGGGGCTTTCTGGAGGTCGGCAGCTCTGTGCCTGGAGAAGGCCTATCCTGGCTTTGGCAGGCTGCCCAGGTGTGTCTGGCCGTCTGTCTGTCAGATTTCTTTTCCTCGACTTGAATTCTTACTGCAGTGAGACTGAGGGCCATCCGGCCGATAGCCTGTCCAGTGCCCTGGACGCAGAAGTGTGGTGTTGCCAGGCGTGCCTTGGGCGGCCACCAGAGCAGCTTCCAGACCTGGCTCCAGGGTGTGGCCCTGGCTGTCATGGGGCCAGCATGGGGTGTCCTGGCCAGCACAGGCTGTTGCCAGGCCAGGCCAGCCCTGGGGAGCGTGCTCAGGGCCTCCGATCTTCCCTGCCTGAAGCGGAAATGTGACTTAGGAATTGTTTTCCATAAAAGGGAAGAGGGTGAGCTACAGCTGCCCGGAGCCTGTCCTCCAGCCCCGGCTGCTTCGGAAGCGTGACGATGGGCATTTGTTCCACACGGTGGTTTGGTCTGGGTCCTGCTCAGCCCAATGCCTTTACCCCATTCAGAATGTAGACTCCGTCCTCCAGGCAGTGGGGGCGGTAGGGCCTGTCCCCGACTCCTCCCCAGGGCACAGCGGGTCTGCCTTTCCTGGAATGATGCCTGGCATCCAGGCAGAGCCGAGACCAATGGCCCCTCAAGAGCTTGTTCAGATTTTTTTTCCCTTCAATTGCTGTCCGAGTTTTTTGGTGGAGCAAGACGGGACTCGTGGTGTGGACCTGCACACCCTGGTCATCCTCCCTGGCAGCCCCTAGGCCAGCAGCCCGTTCCCAAGCTCCAAAGCCCTCTTGGCTGGGGCCTTGTGTTCCAGCCTCTCCTCAAGTCCAGAGTTTCCCAGCCCTGGGTTTTTCCAGGCCCTGTGGCATCTCTTCACCTCCCCCTGGGTGTGGCCCTTGTGTCGAGGTGGCAGTTCCAGGCACAACCCTCTGGGGAGGGCGGCTGAATGGATGCATTGAGACAGGAGCCGCTTGGAGGGCAGGAAGGCCTGAGCAGACACCTCACCCGTCCCCTACCAGGCACTAAGGAGAAACCGCTGGGTGTCATGGCAGCTGGACGCCGCCACTCTTAGGAGGACTTGTGGCACCAAGCAGACACAGCAGCCAGGAGACGCCCTTGCCATCCTCATTTTGAGCCGACCTTGGCCAAGGCCATGGGTCACCTCCATCAACCTCAACGCTTCTGGCTTCCCCTTGTGGGTGTGGGGTGCACTTTTCACCATCACTCAGGAAACATCCCTGGAACTGCGGTGGGGGCTCCCGAAGCAGGTGTGCTTCTGGGTGGCACCTCTTGGTCTCGTGTGCTCCAGTCCCAGGGAGTGTCCAGGAAGTCCCTAGCAGCCGCCCAGCACCACCACATCGCAGTCCCCTTGGGCCCACCCTGTGCTGCCTCTGGTGGAATCGTGAAGAAATCCTGGTCTTGGACACCGTTTCTGGCGAAGTCCTTGCCTCACCTGCGTGCTAGGAGTTCAGGTTCAGAGTTGAATTCAGGAAAGGTTTTATTTTCGTTTCTCCCTCTCACAAGCTCATTTATGGTGGTTGATCTCCGTGTGACCAAGGCCTTAAGCCACTTTGTTGCCAGGGGCTGGAGGGCCGGACACACCACCTGAGAAGAGTCTCTACATGCACAGAGTTGGCCTGTCTCTACCAAATTTGGTGACACAGGTGGACAGAGAGTAAGAATTCTCCAATTAGAGTCCTCAGAATTCTGCTTGGCTCATTACTGCAGAGGTGATGACCAGAATCGAGTTCTCCTGGGTCAGTGTGGGCATTTCTCCGTCTGTCCTTCCTTCATCCAGCAAGCATTTCTTGAGCCCCTGGTATGTGGGTGACCCATGGGCAGCCCGCTTGAAGCCTGAGGGGCTCCAGTGTGCAGGAGGGTGCCCCCAGAGGCAATGTCTGGAATGAGTGGTGACATTTGTTTGGATAGCTGGGGAGGGGACATTCTGACAGCTTCTAGGACAAGGGAGCCAAGCACAGGGCAGGTTCCCTGGAGAGGGCTCTGGGTGCCTGAAGGGCATTGGAGGCACATCCCCTCTTGGGCCTGGCCTCCTGCCATCACAGGCCCTGGGTGGGGTGGCATCACAGGTCTGCCCATGTTGCTGGGACAGTAAGGCAGGGCCCCGAGTGAGCAGGACGAGGACCAGGAACACTTCTGATCTGGGCTGCTACACCCACTTGCCATATTCAGTTAGTTTTCTCTCAAAGGTTCAGAAAAGAAATTGTTTTCAGAATCCAAATGTTGATGTGGTGTGATCGGCCGAGCCTGCCCCAGTCAACCAGGGGAGGCGGCCACAGCACAGCCCTGAGAGCAGCACAGGCCACTGTGGGTCTGGGGAGCCGGACCGTGGTGTCGTTGTGACACACGTGGAGGACAGGGCTGCTCAGGCCCTGCACAGCCCACTCCCGTGGTGTCACGTCTAGCTGAGGGTTGTTGCTCCCACGCAGGAGGAAGGGGCCGCAAGGTGCAGGAGACCAGGCTGAGCTGGGCTGGCCTGGGAGACCTAGCGTGCCCTGCTCCATCCGCCCTTGGTGCTCCCTGTTTTGTTTTTTTTCCGATGGGCAGACCACATTTTATTATCAATTCACTGTTAATGGACATTTAAGTTATTTCCATCTTTTGGTTATTATGAATACCCCCCTGTTAACATATTCCATATTATCGTTTGTGTGCAAGCTTGATCTATTTATTTTTGGTTCTCTTTAGGCACACGTGACGATAGTGTGTATTTTGACATGCTATACTTACGTGGAGTCTGACTTATGCTAATTAGGACCCCATTCTTGTGGTCGTATGTTGTGTGGAGTTTTGCTATGATGCATTTATGTGCATAGGAAAGTAATGTCTGACTGTCCCGCGTCCCAGGCCCTGGTGCCTCCCACACAGGTTGGTCCCCCTATTTGCGTGATAGCTGGCAGTCTCAACCCAGAGCCTTTTCTTGGGGTGCCATCTTGTGGACACCTTAGCACAAGCCCGTGGCTCCCACAGACATGAGCTCAGTCTTCCTCCTGCCTGGGGCTGAGGCTGCACCCTGGGCCCTGCTGGGCAAGGCTGGACCTGTCTGCAGGCTCGGGACTTGAGGTAGCCTGGCCTTGGAGCAGAGCTTTCTGCTGGGGTAAGACAGGATTGCCCCTCCAGGGTCCTGTCTTCAACACTGCGTGGCTCTGTGCTTCATTGTGTTGGAGAGCATTGTGTGGTGTAATGGGACTTCCAGGAGGAGAGTGAGTTCTGTCACCCCATCCAGGGTGGTCCTGAAACCCTGTCCTGCCCAGATTCCTCCTTCCCTGGGTTGTGAATTCACAGTGTGTCCTTTCCTCCCTTCAGTGTCCCCAACTCCTGCCCAGCCAGTCCACGTGGAGCTGGGTCCTCTGGCTACCGGTTCGTCCAGAATGTGACCTCGGACTTGCAGCTAGCCGCAGAGTTTGCAGCGAAGGCCGCCTCAGAGCAGCAGGCAGACACGTCTGGCGGGGACAGCCCCAAGGTCTGAGCCTCATATGTGCAGAGTGACCGGGAATGGGCGATAGAGGCTCCTGAGTGACACAAGCCAGGCACTCCAGGGTGTAGCACGTGGTTGCACGGGAGGCACTGCCCCATGATGCACTTGGCCACTGGTGATAACTTGGGTTCGTGCACCCTGCTCCTCCCTATCCCGTCTCCTACTGACAAAATGATTTCAGAGTTTGAATGACAATGACATTGAGAAGAATGACATATTTTTTTTCTTATAATGTTGTATCTTGGTTCTTTCCATCTGATAACTGACTTGATATATTGAGCAGGTAAGAAACTTCAAACTTAAATCAGGATAAAAACCTAATTTCTCCTCCCATGGGGCACAAGTGGCTGAGTGTAGCGCCAGCTGGGGTGGCTTGATGAGGAGCAGGAGACACGGCGGGTGGACCCTGCCCTTCTCCAGGTAACCCCGTGGTCTGCTCACAGGATGAGTCGAAGCCGCCCTACTCGTACGCTCAGCTCATTGTACAGGCCATCTCCTCCGCCCAGGACCGGCAGCTGACACTAAGTGGCATCTACGCCCACATCACCAAGCATTACCCTTACTACAGGACGGCCGACAAGGGCTGGCAGGTGAGGCAGGAGGCCGAGGACATAGCCTGTGGCCTTGGGCAGGCCATTCACAGGTGCCCTCCAGGATGCCGCATGGCAGCCTCGGGGACATCCGTGTGCAGCACCACCGCGGTTCAGCCGGCATCTCGTTACTTTCTCCACACCTTTGTGCTCTTATGCTTACCCCACGGGGGTCCTGTGTCGTCTTGGAAGGACACTGTGCACGTCATGTCATGTGCTGGTTGTAGTCTCGCTTGTGGAGGTTGGGCTCTGGAGCAGGCATAACCGACCCGTGTCCTGCCTTTGTGTTTCCCTGGTTGCTATTTCCCATCTGCTGCTCTGCTCAAGACCAGCTCTGAACCCCGGAGGCCCACTCAGGTCTGGGTGGCAGACATGCTCCTGCATGTGGCTTGTCTCTTTGTTTTGCTTTTCCTGCAAAGAACAGTGATGGGTTTTACCTGAGTGGAATTTGGATAGGAAAAGCTGCCCTGGACCCTTGGAGGTCCCCCATGAGGCACAGTCACCAGGCAGCCATAGGGCAGGCCATCCATTCCTGTCACCTCTGGTCCTGCAGCTCCGTTACATGCAGATTCGGGGCAGTGGGATATGTGCTCTTGACATGCTAGTGACCAGTGACTGTCCCTGCTTCCCTACAGAATTCTATCCGGCACAACCTCTCTCTGAACCGTTACTTTATCAAAGTCCCACGCTCCCAGGAGGAACCTGGGAAGGGCTCCTTCTGGCGAATAGACCCTGCCTCAGAAGCCAAGCTTGTGGAACAGGCGTTCCGAAAACGGAGACAGAGGGGTGTCTCCTGCTTCCGCACCCCCTTCGGGCCTCTGTCCTCACGGTAAGCCCCCTGCTGTCCTTGAGCACCTAGGAAAGCTGACTTCTCCAGGTGTAGAGGGTCACGGATTGTTCTAGACACCACAAAACTCCACCTTTTCTTGAGACAGTCTCAGGACCACTGAACTTCTGGACTCTTCACTCCATTTATCAGTAGATTGTTGACTGCTCCTCAAATGTGTTAGCTCTTAGAAGTGGAAGTGTGCATGCACTGAAGACAGGTACCTGTCGGTGCCTGTGAACCCGAGCTTTCTGCCAGGGAACTGAGGGGTCCCAAGCACAGCCAGCTGCTCCCCTCCTCCATGGTCCAGGCCTTTGAAGGAGCAGATGAGAATGAGGCTGGTGAGCTCAAAAGCAATTCCGTTGTTAATCGAGTGGGCACTGTGACTGACAGGCTGTCAGGTGGACCTTCTTGCTGGTCGCTGGCACCTGCCTGGCCACCTGCCTGGAAGGTGAAGGCCTTTCTAGCCCAACTCGTTCCTGGCCATGCTCAGTCCGGAGGAGCAGACTGCCCCTTGATGGGCTGGCAGCTGTTCCCACGCTCACCTGTCGGATGAGTGGCTCCGGGCTGGGCAGGGGATGGAGGGCTTCCAAGATGAGCATCAGCCTCAGGCGCTCCACGCAGGCCTCTGTTTCAGACTCGATTCTGTGACGGGCCGCCCCGGGCCCCAGGCTCCCGTTTCTGGTCTGGGGCCTACAGATGTGGTTCTCAGGCAAATTGGTTGTGCCAGCCATCCAACAGGAGCTATGTCCTTTGACACCGAAGCCGAGCCACTCTTAAGGATTCTGGTACCTTTCAGGAGACAAATGCTGTTGACTTTGGCACTGCTGGGAGCCATAGGCAACGCCATGCCCCTGGTTAAGGGAGCCCCCGACACTCAACCCCCACTGAGTGGAGCTAGGGCTATATCACCAGGTGACAGAATTAGACATGCCTCAGGGACAGAGAGGTGCCTCGGAAGCCTGAAGTGGGGGGTGGAGGGACGCTGTGGTGTGTGGCACCTTCCAGGTCCTAGTGGTTCTGTGACATGTCACTTACCACCCTGGTCCTTTCTCTTTTTCCTTTTTCAGGAGTGCTCCGGCTTCACCCACTCACCCTGGGCTGATGTCCCCTCGTTCCAGTGGCCTGCAGACTCCAGAGTGCCTGTCTCGGGAGGGCTCCCCCATTCCACACGACCCTGACCTGGGGTCCAAGTCGGCCTCTGTTCCTGAATATCGGTGTTCCCAAAGTGCACCCGGTGAGGCCCGGTCTTGTCCTTTCCTGGCACGACAGCCCTGAACAAGGCCAGCAGGGTCACGTCCTCTCTCCCTCTGCTCCCTGCAGGCTCCCCTGTCAGCGCGCAGCCAGTGATCATGGCTGTGCCTCCCCGACCGTCCAACTTAGTGGCCAAGCCCGTTGCCTACATGCCAGCTTCCATAGTGACCTCACAGCAGCCCTCGGGCCACGCGATCCACGTTGTGCAGCAAGCCCCCACCGTCACCATGGTCAGGGTGGTCACCACCTCCGCCAGCTCAGCCAATGGCTACATCCTCGCCAGCCAGGGCTCGGCAGGGGGCTCCCATGACACGACAGGCGCAGCTGTGCTGGACCTGGGCGGCGAAACCAGAGGTAATGAGAGCCGCTGCTTCGTCTCAGCTGCGCTGGTTGCCATGCTGCTGCCCGGGCCTGGGCCACGGGCCTCAGAGCTGGCCTGTCGGGCGGAGGCTCAGGGAGGGCGGCTCCTGCTGCTGTGTCCTCTAAGGCATCGCTGACTATCCCCAGGTGCCCCCTCGCCTGGCTGAGGGTGCAGCCTGTGGCACGTGGCTGCGGCCTTGAATTTTGTTTCTCCTCAAAGTGACACTGAGTTCAGTTGGAACTCATTTAACATTTTCTCAAGGAGAGGGAATAAGAATAAGCCTGGGGAAGTGACCTCTAGCACACTGGTAAGGAGTCTTTAGAAGTTATTGGGAGGGACAAGTCATGCTCTAAGTTCCTAAAAGAAGTCCAGATCCCAGGGGACCCCCAGGGTGGGCAGGCCAGTGCCTCTGTGCTGAAGAGCACCTCTCAGGGGCACTTCCCAGTTAAGCAGGTGGTGTTGTGTGATCACGGTCCACTCAGTCTTGGTGGCCATTTTTTATTTTAATACATCATCATACAAACTGTCTCTTGGTAAAGACTAAGCCATGGCACTAAAACAAGACCATTTTGTTCCAAATAATACTTTCTGTTTTGCGGATTAAATTTGGGATTTGGGTTGGCTCAAGTTTAAGGTACATTTTTTCAAAATCCTATTAATTGTCTTTTTTGTTGTTGTTGTTGTTGTTGTTGGAAACACGTTTCTTCTGTGGGATTTTCATTTGAGAAGCAGTTTCTCCCAGGGCCGCTCCCTCCTCCCACCTCCATTTGCAGGTCCATTGCTGAGGCATTTGTGGCCTTTGATGGCCTCATTGGCCAAATGCAGTTATTTCTGTTGTGTTTCATGTGGTGCCGGGGATTGAACTCACAGTCCACACATGCTAGGCAAGTGTCCGACCGCTGAGCTGCATCCCAGGCCCTGCCGAGGGTGGTTCTGATTCGCTTCGTGCCCCACAGGCTTGGAGGAGAAACCCACCATTGCATTTGCCACGATCCCTGCAGCCAGCCGAGTCATCCAGACGGTGGCCAGTCAGATGGCCCCTGGGGTTCCTGGACACACAGTCACCATCCTGCAGCCAGCCACACCAGTGACCATCGGGCAGCACCATCTCCCAGTCCGGGCCGTCACTCAGAATGGAAAGCATGCTGTCCCCACGAACAGTCTGGCTGGCAGCGCTTACGGTGAGGTCCGGCCCCTTCTCCAAGCCCGAGTCCTGAGCAGCGGGGTCCTGCCCACAGTCAGTGAGCACACCAGAGCTTTTCCAGTCCCATCACTGTGACAGTGCAGCTCAGTAGGGAAAACCAGATGTCTCCGCGCCGTGCAGGCCACACTGAACTGTGGAGAGACAGGAGGTCAGAGGAGGAACATGGGGTGGGGCCCTGGTTGGAGTGGGCTCAGGTCTAAGTGGGTGGTCCCAGGCAAGTGGTATTGTGTGACAGAGGTGGGGGAGGAACCCTGGGCACGGCTCTAGGGATCAGACAGATGCAGCAGCAGGAGAGCCTGAGGTGGGCTCCTGGCAGGCTGGAGGGAGTCAGAAGGAAGTGTGCCTCAGGAAGGTAGAGAAAAAGGGGGAGGCTGGGCACTGCCCTGGGAGAAGCCAGAGCTGGGAGCCAGGTCCCTGTCTAGGTGACCAAGGAGAATGGGTGTTGGTCCTCCGTAGACTCCCAGGTAACCTCTCCTTCCTCCACCCCAGCCCTCACCAGCCCCCTGCAGCTCCTTGCAGCCCAGGCAAGTTCATCCACGCCGGTGGTGGTCACCCGGGTGTGTGAGGTGGGCCCCGAGGAGCCAGCAGCAGCAGTCATGGCGGCCAGTGCCACCCCGACCCCAGCAACCGCCAACGCCACCTCAGCCTCCTCCAGTGGGGAACCTGAGGTCAAAAGGTCCCGGGTGGAGGAACCCAGCGGGACAGCGACCACACAGGCTGGGGTGATGGCAGCTGCCGGCCCCCAGGGCCCAGGCACCGGAGAGTGAAGTCACCTGTACAAGGTGGAGCAGGACATGCCACAGGAACCCGAGCAGGCCCCACAGTGCAGACGGCTGCTCTCGAGGACCCAGGAGAGGGGCCCCAGGGCTGCCTGCAGCACTGCCACCTGAGCGGTGGCCACCACGCCTGGAACACCCATCCTTCCCACTTTGCCTTCTGCCCTCCCACGGTGTGAAACAAAAACACATAAACCAGTTCCGACAACTGATCGCATGGTCCTGGGGATCTCGTGTGTTTATTTCCCGCTCCCTGCACCGCTGCCTCTCCGGGCCCTTTGGTCAAGGCATGGGGAGAAGGTCTGGCCCAGCACCTCAGGAACCTGTCAAGACCGCCCACCCACCAGGAGGAGGACGCCAGCCTCGGGGCCTTTGCTGGGGCAGCAGCCTTTGCCTGGAGGACCCGACAGGAACTCAGCAAGGTGCCAGCCAAGGCCTTCTCGGGGGTCGGGAATGGGATAGATTCCTGTTTGTCATAGATGGGGAATAGGCAAGAGAAAGGCAGGAACTGCCACTCACGTACTGTTTTATGGTGTCTTTTCCAAAGTGACATAGAAAATATTGGCATTAATTAGATGGGGGGGGTGGGTCTGGTTTGGCTTTGGACCCCAAGTATTTCTTGTTGTTTAAACACGGAATTCAGGCTTATCACCAATTCAGGCACACACGAGAGGGCTTCTATCCCTTGGGTTTCTGCCTGAGACAGTTTAGCAGCACTGGGCCGGTGCTCTCCTGGCTTCAGCCCTGTCTGATAACTTCAAGAAGGATCCGCGGCTGCCGCCTGGTGTCAACATGCTTTGGGTGAAAGGTCAGTCTGAAGTCAGCAGCTGCAGTCTCCAGCCAGCCCTGGACACGTGTTGAGCCGCACGCCCAGGAAACGGGGCTCCAGGCAGAAGTCAGTTGCCTGCTTGGCAAGGAGGACGTTCATGTGTGTCACCAGAAGACCAGGGTAAACCCCAGGGTCCCCACAGCTCTGTCCCCGGACTGAGGATCCACTGGGACACATCTGCTCACACTGCCTTTCCCACCACATTCCAGTTTCCTGACCTCCCCCAAATCCATCCACTGTTTGAAATTGGAACCGGTTCTGTCAGAAGCTCGGGGACTCTGGTCACTTAGCCGAAAGGAAACTCCCCACCATGCAGCAGTTGGCAGGCAGGCCCACGCCAGCTCTGCTGGTTTTGACTTCAACGAGGTGAGAGCCAAAGGACAGAATGCTCCCTGCAGTTGGTCAAGGGGCTCCAGGGCACCTAGGGATGTCCCTCTGCATGTCCATACGACCAGCAGCACTTTGAGCCACGTCACAGAAGCAGGAGCTAAGCCGGAGCTGAGGAGCCGTGGACCATTTGGCCCAGTGAGGGGATGAGATTGGAGCCCTTCAGCCACCCTGGGGGACCCTCGGAGGAAGCATTCGCGCATCCGCGTAAGTTGGCCTTGCAGTGGCCAGGCGCTCTCGCTGGTCCTCTGAGTGGCCACGGCCGGAAACAGCAGCGCTGCAGGGCAGCACCTGCCCTTGGCCTCACAGCCTCTCGCCAGCGGAGCAGCTTCCTCTGCCCTGCCCTTGAGGAAAAGACCCCGGGACATCCAGTCCCTGGACAGCAGGGAGTGGCAGGGCACATGCCACCTCTAAATGGAGGGGACAATTTCCCAGGTGATTTGGAGGTAGGGCAGGGAGACTGACCACGGCCAGAGCTGGTGGGCAGGAGGGATGCACTCTCCTGCTGCTGCTGCTGCTGCATGTCCCAGCACCCACTAGTCGGGTGTCTGCTTGGCCAGGAGGACATTCATGTGAGTCACTAGGAGTTAAGGGGTAAGCCCTGGCCCTGCCCTCTTCCTTCTGCCTGCAGGGAAAACCCGTCGCTGTCATTATTTTAGCCCCTCAGACCAGGGGTTTCTATGGCACTAAACCTTAACTGGGAAATAAGCTCTTTGAAGTCTATACCTTGGCCTTGGTGAAGTTCCGGGAGACTGGCAGGGTGAGGGCGGCCCCTTCTGTCATAGCACCCTCCGCGCGCAGCGGCTCCTCCTTCTCCTTCCTGGGCCTTTCCGCGTGCCTGGTGTGTGCGTGGGTCAGGAAGCAGGAACGGGGAGAGTCCTAGGTGAGGACCTGTGACAAGGAATGTTAAGGTCATCAGATGCTTCTTTCCCTTCCCTGGCTGCACGTGGTCACCTCTGTGGGGGATTCTGTTTGATTCTGGACTGTAGTGACAGCCACGGGAGGTGCTTGGGTGGTGGCTGCCCAGAACTGTAGGTTCCTGACTCTGGCTCCAACTTGTTTGCTCTTCTAGCTTCTGAGACATTCTGGTCCCTGTCTTCTGTACTGTGTCACTGTGAATGTGTCACTGTGAACACTGCCCAGGTGAGGGGCAGAGTGGGCAGGGAGGGCAGGAACCCATTCCCAGAGTCCTGCTCGTGGAGAGTCTCTTGATTAAAGGGACAGAGAAGTGCCCTTGGGGTCAGTGCAGACTCTGCGCAGGGAGCGGGTGGGGAGGCTGGAATGTCACCCTGGGTTGATAAACGGTGTTGGAAGGGTTTTGGTCATCCACCAGGTGGCATACCTGGCTCCTGCCAGAACTTGTCCTGGAGCCAGTAACCAGAGACCCAGGCGTAGCTGGTGACCAGAGCTACACATCCCAGCCAGAGCTCTGCATATGCTCCACCAAGCAGGCCTCGCAGCTGAGCCTGTCCTGGAAACCAGAGTTCACCCAGGGGCCAGGAGAACCTCTACCATCGGGCTCGGGCCTTTTAGGTGTCACTGCAGACGTGGAGCAAGAGAACCTGCTCTGCAAGAGAACCAGGCTCTAGGCTCTGGCATGACCCAAGGTGGAGGCCCGAGGTCCAAGGTCCAGGTGATGGCGGGGGAGGCTCCCTCCTGCCTGGCCCTGCTCTGACTGGAGCTTCCAAAGACCCGGGTGCCTGGCCAGCCGCTCCCTACTCAGTACGTCACCAGACTCAGATGCAAGAGTGTGTGAAGACGGCCAGCCCTCCCCAGCAAGCAGGCGTGGTGCTGGGAGTCAGAAGCTACTCTAAGAGCTCGCCTGGCTGTTGGGACCTCAGTTTGCATCCCTCTGTCGATCTCTCATGTGTCCAGCGGCAATTGGTGGCACTTTCCTTCCATGCACTTCGGGTGTTGGCTGTCCCTTGTGTCTAACAGGGGACTAACCCACTGTCTCTGAGAAACTCAAGAAGGAGACTCATTGTCCTTGAGACCAGGCCGGGAAGACACGGGGTGGGGAATAGGCCCAGGCAGGTGGAGGACCCGTGGTTTCCCACCCAAGGCCTAGTTTGTTCCTATTTGGGGTTTCTGGGTTTCTTTTTTCTATTTTTGTTRTTTAGACCCAAGTCAAATAGAAAGGGTGGGAGTAGACGTGGGAGTTGCTGGATGGATGTGTCATGGACCTAGGTCTCATGCTTGAGTGATTTCCAAATTGGGAGGTAAAGATATGGTAGAGCTTCACCATGGCAGGGACAGAGACTCCCCCACCCCTCTAGGCCACCTCTGTCTCCAGGTGGGTAACCAATCTCGGGATCCACTCCTGGGGCTCTTTGCTCTCCTCCCCAGGCCTGGAGAAAGAGTGGCTTGAGGTCCTAGGAACATTTTAGTTAATGCTCATTATTTCCTCTGAAATGAAGAGCCTCCCTGGGACATTCCAGGTGGGCTGGGCGTTTCCAGTACCAGGGTTCCTCTCTGTCGACAGAAATCTCTACACTGCTGGCATACCTGGTTCCTACCAGAACTTGTCCTGGAGCCAGTAACCAGAGACCCAGGTGTGGCTGGTGCCCAGAGCTGCACATCCCAGCCAGAGCTCTGCATGTGCCACTCTCTGACTTCAGAGTCAGAGTCCTTCATGGAGAACAGACCTCACTTGAAGAGACAAGAGCTTAGTTGAATGCAGGAGGAGGACAGGAAGAAAGGATTCCCCAAGCTCTTAGAGCACAGAAACAAATGCAGCTGGTGGGAGGGAGCTCTCTGCTCTTCTTCAAAAGCCTCAAATTCCCCTTTGCACCTAAGTGACTTCATCTGGTCCAAGGGACGGGACCCTCTCTAGGGACATTCCCCACCTGTCCTGGGCGCTCCCTCACCCTCTGAGAGTGCGCCTCAGTGCCCAGTAGCTTGCTCCGTGGTAAATACAGATAAATATGAAAAGTAAGACTGTACTATTAAAAAAAAAAAAAGAAAGAAAAGTCCCCATGTGCCGAACAGGAGCCTTTGCTGTCGTGGGCCACTCCGCTGAGCACAGAGAGCAGAGCCCGGCCGACCTTCCTGGTCTTGGCTTAGGATGGAAATGTGTTCACCCACAGCCTCGTCTCAGGGCTCCTTCAGATACCTCTGCCTAGAAGCAATATTATTTAATAAGAACAATTTAAATTGTTCCAATTGCTGCTATGAAGACAGGACTGGTCTTCAGCTGGGACTTGGCTTTGGAGGCTTCCCAGTGTGTACGTGGGCTCTTTGAGGTGAGGGCAGATTACAGACTGGAGCAGAGGTCTCGTGCCCATCTCCGCCTGCCCACTTCCCGTTGTGCTCCTGTCCTTTGCGACTCCCTTTTGTCAGACAAGTTGCTTTCTGCATGCCTTGTTGTCGCGCTAAGGTTTTTGGAAGGCTCAAGACCTGGTCCTGGTCATGCATACGCTCACTGTCCTTGCTCAGGTCTGGTGCAAGAAATCTGCTCCCCGCATTTTCTCTCAGTACCCAAAGCTGCTGTGCGAGCAACTGGAGGGAGGGGCTGGCATCAGAGCCGGCAGGGTGTCCTGGCAGTACTGCAGCCCTGCAGGCTAGTGAGCTGGCCCACGTTCCTCAATAGGAGACCCTTTCCCATGGTCTGGGTTTGAATTTCAGATGTTACAGTTGTAGAAGGGACGGTCCCGTTTGGAACAGCTCTGCTTACCTGCCTGCACCCCCTGAAGTGGCAGCAGCTTTGCAGCATGGGATTTTGTGATATTCCTGTGGGCATTTCCTCTAACCTGAAACAGAAAACAGGCCCATTTCAATGACTTTGTTTAGGGAATATAATTTTATACTTATGTTAAAAAAAAAATCCATGCTCCCCTTTCCAGGTCTCAGCTCAGCTGTTGGAAGGAGCATTCCAGAACCACACGTAGGTGGTCTGGTGCAGTAGCCAGGGCAGTGCTGCCCCAGAGGTGAGGCCAACAAGATGCCCATCACCAGAGGTCCCCCGTGGGCAGGAGAGCCAGTGCTGTTCCCTTGTAGGTGGTGCGGAGGTTCTAGGGGGCAAGGCTGAGGGCACAAGAGAGAAGTGTGAGCCAGAGGGAACAGTCAGCAGCATCTACTGGTGAGCCTCCCTGTGCCTGTGGCCACCTCTGCCCGTGGTTAGACCTGCCCTGAGAAGTGTCCTTCCTTGAAACAGTATGCCCTCGGGCCCGGGCAGAGGTTCTCAGGACGAGGACTGAGCTTTCCTCAGGAGACCCACCTGTCACCCAGCTGGGTGCTTCTGTTGCATTTTTGGGCAGGGCTGAAATGAAGATCCTTCTCTCAATTAGTGAGCCACGGGGAATTTTTAGCTTCTTTTACTTACCCTAATGGCTGGTTGGGGCTGCAGAGTGTTCTAGAAAACAGTTAAGAGAGCAGTTACTTTTTATTTTAGGCATCCTCCATTCTCTCTGGGCAGAGACCCAGGCACAGGATTTTATTCATTCTCAGCATCTGCTCCTCCGTCTAGACACAGGTGGAAAGAAAGCCCCTGGGGCCGTGAGCAGCAGCAGATCCTCTTAGGTACTGGGGTTAAGCAGCCAGTCACTGGCCATAGAGGACCCCTGGGGTCGCAGGCCCCACAAGCCAGCAGCATCTTTAAGCTGCTTCCTGGTTTCAGTCACCTGTAAGCTGCTGAGGACACTGGAGAGGGCTCCTTCTCTTCTTGCCCACTTCCCATGAGAGAGTCAGCAGAGAATTAGAAGAGTCCTGGATTAGATTCTGTATCTGGGATCTTGTTTCTGGAATGGTTTGCCCGTTTGATTCAACAGATCCGCAAGACACAGTGAGCAGCGTGCAGGCGGCTGGCCCAGAGGATGTGTGGCTGCCTGAATGAGGACAGGTCCCGGCATCATGCGCAATCCCCCAGGGCTTCTCTCCCTGCAGTAAAAGCACTTGTGGGCTTCAGCATCTAGCACTGTCCCCAAACTCCCAGATATGTTGGCTGAGCCCAGATGAGCCCTGTGACTCTGAAGTAGGTTTTTCCCCCTGTGTGAACCACTCTGGCCTGTGTGGATTCAAACTGTGTCTGTGGCCTCTGAATTTCTGGCTTAGCTGGGCCAGACCCTTTTTTTTTTTTTTAAATTAATAAAAATAGGGATTTAAAATCAAATATTTTGTTTGCCCTTCCTTCCCTTCCTGACTTCCCTTGGAGGGAGGCATTTTGGATTCCTCGTTATACCTTAACTTAACATAGCTTGATTCCTGCTTCAGGAAAAGGTGGCAGAGAGGAAAGAAGAGGCAGGAGCTGTTCCAGGTCTTTCCTTAGGCTTTGCTGCGTCCCTGAAGGCTGGCTGCTCGGCGTGTGCTAGGATGGGTTAAAGCCAATACTGAAATTGATTTTTCTTACCTGAACGATAATTCTCCTGTAAAAATAATTTGGGGGGTGGGTGTTGTTCGGGGAGTGTGTGTGTATGTGTGTGTGTGTGCGTGTGTGTATGTGTGTGTGTGTTTTTTTTTTTTTTTTACAGTGGCTGTCTGAAGTATTTTCACAGTATGTTTAATAATCAGTGCTTTAAAAAGCAGTGGTATCCTGTCAAGTGGGGATTCTGGTTCTTGACCTTGGGCTGTGTCCCGTGCCAATGGGTGAAGGTCCCACCCAGGATGGCATCCACACACCAGCTCCATGGGCAGGAGCAGGCGCTGGAATCAGAAAAACCAACAGACCCACGTCAAAAGCAGCCCGGCATGGGTTTTTCATTTCATATGGGATACAGTATTTTTTTATTACAGAGCCATACTTTTTTTTAAGTTGAGATCTGAATGTGATTTCTAATTGTATCAGACGTTAAATGTTTTAAAGCTATAACAAAGTTTAAAATTTCTACTTTTTGTTTTTCATTTAACTGTTCTTTTATCTATTAAATTGTTGTATGTGGATGGGGAAGCTTTGTTTCTCCTCTTAGCATTTGTTTCTATAACCAGAAATAAAATTATATATTAAAGAAATGATAGCAAGATTCCGGGTGGTCCTTGTGATTGATTGGTCCTTGTGATTGATTGATGGATTTGTGAAAATGTGTGTTTGCTACAAATATATCCTGTCAAGGCCCTGCGGTGTTTGTGCATGTGACTGTCTCACTGGRCTGAACAGACACTTGGACTGACAGATGGCCTTCCTGCTCCCTGGAAAGCACCCCCAACATACTCTGGAGGCTGAAGGGCAGCTCCTAGGGGGCTGTGTTTCCTCTCACTTGTTCTTGGTGGTCTGTTGCCCCAGAGAAGCCAATGGACAAAGATGGTTTCCACAGGTGCCTTGATTGCTGCACTGGGACTCCCAAGCTCCAGAGCCAGAGTATCTGCAGTTCCAGGAATGCGAGGACAGCTTGAGGCCATTCCTCAAGACAGGATGAGGGACAGCCAGCTGAGCCATCCCCCTACTCCTGGGCCCACACCCACAGCTGGATCAGGGCTACCCGCAGGTACCTGAAGTTGCCTCAGGGGCCCTCACCCAGGTGAGATTCTCTGTACATCTGTGTGTGCTAAGCCCTCACCTATTCCAGGTTATCGTGTGGGCATGAAGGGCTACAGAGCAAATATGGCCAGGCAGTGGCTCTGATGTCAACCTGGGGTCAGGCTCCTGCCCTGCCACACTTCCCCCTGCTGTGGCACCTCAACCTGGGATAAGCTGTTTCCTTCCATGCAAAATGGACACTGACCTCACAGACATGGGTAAGTTGAGAGGTGACAGAGTGCTGAGGATGTCAAAGTGCTCTTGGTCACCTGCAGCAAGGCTGGTCCTCTTCTAAAGGCCCCCAAATTGACAAGATTAATGCAGAGTCCCTCCAGTGGAAAGTTTGTGAAAATGTGTGTTTGCCACAATACATCCTGTCAAGGCCCTGCCCTGCGGTGTTTGTGCACGTGACTGTCTCACTGGGCTGAATAGATCGTTGGAATCTTTCAGACTTCACAGCTGCCCCTAGTTACAGCTGAAGTTTGTTTGCTTCTTGGTCTCCCTTCCGGTCACTCCTTTTTTGATACACAGTTCCAGCCATAAGCATACCATGACATTAACAGATTCATGTCAAGACTTTAGCCAAACAGCAAGCTTGAGAATGGGTTTCCTCTAGGGAGCTGCACTGGCTAATTAACATCTGTTTTTAGTCTTGGGTTTTTAAATTGTTTTTAGGACTATGGTTCACTACCAAGACCTTAAAATAACATTTTGTGCAAACATAAGTTTTTAAAAAAAAAACAGTTCAAATATTAATCCTTAATAAAGCTTGGATATGTGGGTGTGGAGAGAAGGCGTGGGTAGATGTGGATCACTGGCACATAACAGTGAGCTACCCTGGGAACCTGGTATTTACCAGAGAAGCAAGTACACATCCCCAGTAAAAGATCATGGCTGCAGTATGATTCATTGTTGCCAACATCTGGAAACAAATCAAATATCCATGAATGAACAAGACAGGCTAAATAGTTCCCGATTCCATTTATCTGAGGTGTAGAAAGAGGCAAATTCATCCCTGGCAGTAAAAGTGAGGTATTTGGTATGCATTATTTCTGAGGCAGGGGAAGGGTAGAATTGACAGAGGGGCACAGGGAGTTGGAAATGGTCTACATGAAATGGCCATGACAAGAATCAATCAAACACGAATCAGTCTCCCACCAATGCAGCCAGTTAAACACCAGTTTTCTGATTTATAAAAATGTAAATAAGATTTGGAAACTTCACTGTGTACGGTTCACCTTAAACATGAAAACTGAGCATGCAGTAGGCATCCCATGGACTGCCTTTTTAGTCCTCACCAGTTCCCCACTCCAGCCATGTACCCCATCAGCTGGTTCCCATCTCCCCATCCTCAGCACCAGCCCACCTTCAAGTATCTTCAGGGACTAGGTAAAGAATGGTGTCTAGAATTCGCATAGGTAATTGCCCAGCCCCTTCAACCATCCAGGTGTCTTCTCAGTGCCTAAACTTGACCGATGCAAACAAAAGAACATTCATCTCCACTGCCACTCTTCAGGGCCTGAAACAGTACCTGACAAAGGAAGGGACTCAAATCACGGTTCGCTCACCCAATGACTTTCCACAAACTTCCCTGTTTCAATACCAAATGAATGGCACCACCCAGTGCCCAACTGAGACACCTACCATTTGCCTTTGGCTTTTCCCTTTCTCTTCCTGCTCTCTAATCTTTCCATCACCAGGGCCTGCAAATCCCACCCCTGAATGGTTACCAAGCCTAGTTAGGGGTTCTCTAGCTCCCTACCCCATGCAGTCACCACGCTTGACTACAGAAGGCAGCATGCTGCCTAGGCTGCCCCTTGCCACACCCTTAGGGCCCACCGCATGCAGGCCTTTCCGGTGGGATCCCGGCTCAGTTCAGGCGGCGAGGTGTAGCTGTGGGGTGTCTCCAGCGCCCCCAAGCAGCTTACAGGTGGGAATGCTGCCGCGGGGCCCAGCGTAACCTTGAATGTCATTTTTAAAGTTGTACCTACAGCCCGAGATCAGTGCTAAATAAACGAGAGCTTTAAAACAAAAACTGCTCTAAGAGCCGCAACAAGTTGCAGTTGATGGGCCACTTCCGGGCCGCGCCACCCTGAGGCCTGCACGCCACCCAGCCGTTCAAAAAACAGAAAGTGGAAGGGGGCACTGGGACATGGCGCCACCCGAGGCCGGGCGACCAGGTGCCAGAGCGAGCAGTTCCGGGGTCAACGAGAGATCCGGGGGCACAGCGTCCACGGAACCCGAAGCCGACCAGGACCCACAGCGCAGGCGCCTCCGGCCCCGCCCCCAGACGCTCTGCGTTGAAACCTATAGGCCGAGGGCCCGCCCTCCTCCCACGTGACGAGGCTTGGAAGCTGGCGGGGCGCCCGAGGAGGCCGGCCTCCGTACGTGACGTGACACGTGACGTGGCACGTGATGGGCCCCGGAAGTCCCTGAAGTCCTGCGGCACTGGCGTGGGTTTGGGCGTCCTCGCAGCGGCGGGATGTTCACGGCGGCCGCGGAGAGCCTGATCCACCAGGCCAGGTGCGGGGCGCGCCAGGCCCAGGTGCTGGCGAACTGCGGGAGCGCGGGCGGACCGGCTCCGGAGATTGGGGCCGGGCCGGGGCAGCTTCCTGGGCTGCGGGCCGCGGAGGCGACCGCTGAGCCGAGCTACCGGAGGGCGACGGGAAGCCTCACACTCACGACAGGCGGGGAATGAGAGGCTTCCGAGTTCAGACGCGGGGATGAACCTGCAGCTCTTCACCGCCCCTCGGGCGGGGAAGCCGCGCGAGTGTTGTGCGGAGGAAATGCGGCCAGACTGAGGAACTGTTCGCCACCCTGCGCTCAGTCTGGTTCTGGGCTCTGACTAGACCTAGCCCCGCTTTACCAACCAACGAGCCCACGACCTGGTGCTACTCTTTTTAAAACAAAGAAAAATGCAAGCTGGCCGTTGTGGCGCACGCCAGCTCCTCGGGAGGCTGAGGCAGGAGGATCACAAATTCGAGGCCAGGTTCAGCAATTTAGCGAGACCCTGTATCAAACAAATTAAAAAGGGATGGGGATGTGGCTTGGTGATTAAAAACAATCCAGCTTCAGTCCCCAGTACCATAAAAAGTAAAAGAAGAAAATGCAGCCAGATCTTCATTTAAAAAGCTAATTTGGATTTCAAAGTTGGACTAATTGGTGAGAAATACTAGGAAGGTTGAGGTCATGGAATTATAGCCAGCAAGGTCAAGAAGGCAGGTTAAGGTCGGAAGTCTGAACAGGACAAAACTCTGGTCAGAGTAAGCATTGAAAATGTCTTGGGAAAGTGCTACATCGTCACCCCCGTGAGTCCAGTATGGCCCACCTTGCCTTCAGTAGAGGATGCATATGTAGATCATTTGAGTTTAGGTAATGAATGAAACAAACCCGCATCCCTCCCCAAACCTGTTCACAGACACAAGGAGAAATAAATCCACTCATCTTCATTCCCAACTCATTCTGTCCAGGGTCATGGACCAGTAGAATGAAAGGCAAAGAACAGCTTTCTGTTCAAGTTCATGTTCTCTCTCCTCTGTGAGGGGGAGATCTCCGGGAGGAGGTGGCAACAGAAGCTCAGAGTGGGAAGTTTCAGGCAGAGGGTCCACATACAGGGGCAAAAGCAGGAGAAAGGAGGGAGGGACCAGGATTTGGAAGTAACTGGGCAGGTTGGCCTTAGAGGAAGAAGCCTGAGGGCCTGGGGTTGTAGCTCAGGGGTAGAGCACCTCCTAGGCCTTGTGGGGCTCTGAGTTCCATCCCCAGCACCACAAAGAAAGAAACCTGAAATTTGGAGACTAGTAGCACCACTATTCTGGAAAAGAGTCTCCCAGTAAAATTGCAAGACAGACTGGTAAGCTCCTCTCTCAGTCTCCTTTAGTGTTTATGGCTCAACATGAGCCCAGTTAGACAGAAACCTGGACTTGTCCTCTTGTCTTTCCATGTCCCTTCGTCCAGCCTGTACCTGTTCTAACTTAGGTTCCACAATATGACTGAATGGCTTAAGTGGGAAACAAGACAGGGACAAGGGGTGGTAGTGGATGTATCCAGCGAGTTTCAGGGAAAAGCCAGAGCCACCCAAGACCTTGGCCCCAGACCATCACTGAACCTCTGCCACCCCAGGGTAGCAGCTCAAATATGTGACAAGTTCAGGATGGGTTCAGTGTGTGAGCTTGGACTGGTCAGGAGGTCATCAGTGGGGTCTTCAGCCATGGGGTCACAAGGAGAGGGTCAGGGTGAAGGGGCTTTTCTCAGGTCTCACTGGTGCCATCTGCAGTACCTCCTTCACCTTTTGCCTTTTAGTTTGGAATAGAAATCTAAAAAGAGAGACCGGAATCTCACCTGTTGCAAGTGCTGACATATTTTTAAATTAATCCAGTTAATATCAGACTACCTTATAATCAGGCTGTCTTATAAGCTTTACATGGCCTTGTTTTCAGAAGTGAGAGGCTCACTGAAGCATCCTTTGAAAAGCTTTCCTTGAACTAAACTTGCCCTTGAATTTGAATGCAGCTCCTAAAGTCAATCAGTTTTAGTTTTGTTTCTGGAAGCACAGAACTGCTACATGTGGCGTCTCCACTCGAGGGGTCTCCACTCAAGGGTCGGTACCGTGAACTGGGGTTCGTCGCCCCTGCAGCTTCCTGCTCTTTCTGCACTGGATGGGATTGTCCCCCAGGCTGGGAGGGCTGCTGCCGTTGCTCAGGCAGCACCGCGGGGTCCCCAGGCACAAGGCAAGCTGCTGCTGCCCTTCCTCCTCAGGGAGATCCAGGATGAGGAGCTGCAGGGCTTCTGTTCCCGGATCATCAAGCTGCTGCGGGAGGATCTGGGCCCAGCGACTGTGGATGCCCTGCAGAGGCTCTTCCTCATTGTCTCCGCCACAAAGTATCCCCGGAGGTGAGTGTCAGGCAGCTGCTCCTGCCCCTTGAGGCAGCCTGGTGCGTCCTGCAGTGTGGTGCTGTGCTCCTCGCTGTCTGAGCCTCTGTGTCCCTGAAAACCAATACCAGAGGGCCTCATGGGAAAATGTCCAGTCCACCTGCCAGATGGACCCAAGCCAGCTTCGTTGGGGGTGCCGGGTGCCCTTGCAGTGGGTGTGATGTGTTGCCCACTGGGTCTCAACCTCCAGGCTGGACAAGACATGCGTGGACCTGCTGCAGGCCACCCTCTGCTTGCCTACGTGCCCCGAGCAGCTCCAGGTCCTCTGTGCTGCCATTCTGAGAGAGATGTCACCCTCTGACAGCCTGACCCTGTCCTGTGATCGTGCCCCGAACACCCGGCAGATGAGTCTGGTGGCATCTGTGCTCCTAGCCCAGGTAACGAGCTTGTTGCCACTCAGAGTGAATGTCCTGCCTCTAGTGGTCCTGGGCCCTGGGGGGAGCACAGCAAGCTGCCTGTGACCCTGCTTGTGCCCAATAGACTGGGTGGGCCACTTGGTTCAGTTCACATTGCCTTCAGCAGCTTTTACCGCTGGTGAACACCCACCCCCCCTCCCCCCCCAACCTCCTGGCGCTCAGATACATCCAGAAAGGGCAGGTTCCTGCCTGTGTCCTCTCTTCCTTGGGAAGGAACCACGCAGGACTCCTTTGAAGGCTAGATCAGGCCACGGAGTCTGGGCTGCTTAGGCGACATTATTACACACATGTACGGGTAGCATTATTGACCAGGGGAGCAGTGGCATTCTGCTTTCCAGGTGTCTCCAGATCAGAGGCCTTGCTGTCGTGAAGGGACTACACAGAGGAGTTTCACCGAGAGGTGACTGACGTGCCTGACAGAGCAGGCCAGACCTGTGCTTCCAGGAGCATGGCTGCCCGGGAGCCATACTGAAGTGCCACCCACTGTACCTGCCTCCTCCGTAACCTGGGTGGCCTTGCCATTTGGAGACCAGGAAGCCCCTGGGGTGCACATGCCCACAGGAAGCCTTGCAAGCCACTTATGGTAGTGACCAGCAGCCCAGGCCCAGATTCCTTGTCCCTGAGCATCCAACCTGGTGCCCGCCTCTTGCCACCTGGCTCTGAGGACACTGGGTCCCTGAACCTCTGTTCACATGGCAGCCCCAGAGGCCCTGCCCCAAACCATACAGGGATGTGTTTTTCTAAGAGTCACATCAGGGAGGGGCTCACAAGGACAGAGTTTCCTCAGAGAGCCTCCTGCAGACCTCTGAAGTGGGGGTCTCACTCCAGCATGAGGGCTGAGGCAGCGCCTCAGCACCTGCTCTGTTTGCTTTGAAGGGTGACAGAAGACAGGAGGTCAGAAGTGTGGGCCAGCGCATCTTTACAGTCCTTGAGAGCCGGCAGCCCGAGGGGCCCAGCCTGAGGCACCTCCTCCCTGTCCTGTCAAAGGTGGTGGGCCTTGCCCCAGGGACCTTCCAGGAAGGTACACAGGCCCATTCCTGAGGCACCTACGGGGTCTTCCCTCCTGGCCCCTCTCTCCAGCATTCCCATGTTGGGGTGGGTGGGAAGAGGTGGGGTGGGTTCCCTGGGGAACACCACAGGCTCCCTGGATCACGCCCTGTAGGGCCCTGTTTCCTGAGCCACTTCCACCAGCATCACGAGGGACTTGGGAGTCCGCAGTGTTTAACTGTTTTCCTCAATGGGACCCCTCACCACAGACCAGACCGACCTCCTCAGCAAGCGGCTTGTGGATTGGCTCCGCCATGCCAGTGTCCAGCAAGGGCTCCCGCACTCAGGGGGCTTCTTCTCCACACCCAGGGCCCGGCAGGTGAGCCTAAGCTGCTTAGAGATCTCAGAACTGAAATCACAGAATCTGCCCCCTCTGGGGAGTTCTGTGTCCCCACAGTCAGCTGACCATGAGGTTCCCGTCAACACCTCTCCTTCCACTGACTCTGGGAGAATCCCTCATTGCTGTCTCCACTGGGGACCCTGGGTCAGGAGGCCACAGTCCTTTAGCCTGTGTGGCTCTGGAGGTTTGTGTGGGACTGACACCCAGAGGATGCAGGACACTGTCTGCCCTGGGGTCGTGTGGTGTGTCTGCATGTCATGAGGTGGCTGCTGCTTGGACCCGGAAGAGTAGGCAACCTCCGATGTAGGGTTGGGATGGGTCAGGATGGGTGGGCTTCGGGGCTGACATCCCTGGGCCGTGCTTGAGTTCATGTCCACCTGCAGTGTCCTCTCCGCCCTCCCGGGTAACCTGTTGGCTGTTCCCCAGCCTCAGCCTCTGCACCCAGTTGGCCCAGAGAACCCCCAGCCCCTGTCCTTCCTCCCCCAGCCAGGCCCCATCACTGAGGTTGACGGAGCGGTGGCCTCGGACTTCTTCACGGTGCTCTCCACGGGCCAGCACTTCACAGAGGACCAGTGGCTGAACGTTCAGGCCTTCTCCATGCTGCGGGCATGGCTACTGCACAAAAGCCCCGAGGGCCCAAGTACCCTGGACACAGGTGAGCCAGGGGGAGACAAAGGCCAGACGAGGGTAGGAGGTAGGTGCACAGATCCTCAGATGCGGGTGGAAGGTGGGGGGCACAAGTGTGTGGCAGTCCAGGAGGCCAGCAGCAAGGCCTGCTGAGCTGGGAACAGCAGAAAACGAGGCCCAGACCATCAGCCTCCCCCAGGGCCTCAGTCAGCACTAGGGACCCTTCTTAGATGTGCCAGTGACTCTCGTGATGGCCCAGAGAAGCCTGAGAGGGCTCATGTAAGGCCAACAGCCATGCAGTTGTTGAGACAGCCTCACTGAATTCCTTCTCTTCAGTAAACCCCTGGTTCATAGACGGCGAAACAGCTGGCATCCAGACAGGTGCCTACAGCCAGTGTGGGGTGAAAGCTGCCAGGTGCAGTGCACAGGCTCTGGGGCCACGTGGCCACTTGGGCCAGCCAGTGGGTGTCCTCTTCCTACCCATCCATGCAGGGGCAGCTGAGTATGGCTGACCTGGGCCACACTGTCCTGCTGAGCTGCCCCTCTTCCTACAGATGACAAGTCAGAGCTGGAGGGCTCCACCCTGTCTGTACTCTCCGCTGCCTCCACAGCCACCCGCCTGCTGCCCCCACGGGAGCGGCTGAGGGAGGCGGCCTTTGAGTACTGCCAGCGTCTCATTGAGCAGAGTAATAGACGTAAGTCCTCAGGCCATTGCCTGGACCACGCCCAGGACTGCCCCTGAGCCCAGCTCCCCTCCTGCCAGGTGTGGTCAAAGGCAGCAGGTCTTCACTGAGCTGCTCAAAGGAGGCTGGGTCCCCGGGTAGCTGCTCGGCCTCAGGGGCCTCAGGGGCCTCCGGGGCCTCCTTGTTTCTGAGGATGAGCTTGCAGTGACCAAACCTGCAGGCCTGCGACCCTGCCAGGCCCGTCCCATCCCATCCTGCACCCTGTGGGCCCTGGTCGCCACCACATGCCCTCTCCCAGCCAGCCATTCCCTGTCCTCACCTGGAGCTTGCAGAACACAGGCACCTTCTCACGGGGCTGTTTGAGGCGGGGGCAGAGGTGAGCTGACTTCCTTCCTACCAGGAGCCCTGCGAAAGGGAGACGCGGACCTGCAGAAAGCCGTAAGTGGCCGGCTGGGGTGGCTGGGGCAGTGGCAGTGCTCAGCACCCTGACATGGCCTGGGTGTCCCTGCAGTGCCTTGTGGAAGCCATATTGATCCTGGACGTGCTGTGCCGCCAGGACCCCTCCTTCCTGTACCGCACCCTCTCCTGCCTGAAGGCTCTCCACACGCGACTGGGCACAGACCCAGGCAGCGAACGGGCCGTGCTGCCCCTTGCCCAGTTCTTTCTGAATCACGGTAAGCCCCAAGCTGGGGAGGAGAGTCCGCGTGAAAGGACAGCCCTTCTGTCCTCAGTTATAGAGCGTTATTTTCTCCAGGGGCTGTTGGCCCCGATGGTGGTTCCCTTTATTTTTTAAATAGTGAAACAAAACATTCTCAGCTTCGTGTCAGGCTCAGAACTGTCTTTACCACATCACGGCTGTGGAACCCAGAAGCTGGGAACCAGCACCTTCCCGAGACGCTCTGGGGTTCCTGGATTTTCCAGTCTGGGACATCTCTGGAGTCTGTGTGCTCGAGGCTTATGCTGGCCTTGAGATTCAGCCAAGATGTCAAGGGGCCCCGAGGGGCAGCAGAGATGCCTCGCCACACGGCCGTGAAGAGGCCCCTGCCGCAGGCCTTCCCGCCCAGACGGGTCTGTTGCCTTCCAGGGGAGGCGGCGGCTGTGGGCTCAGAGGCCATCTACCAGCACCTGCTCACCAGGCTCCCTTCTGAGCACTTCCACAACCCCATGCTGGCCTTTGAGGTCATCCGCTTCTGCAGGGACAACCTTCCCCTGTTCGACCTTCACCTCCTCGGCATCCTCAAGTCAAGCTTCCCCAACCTGTTCAAGGCATGTGCGGTAGTCCTAGGGGGACACGGGCCAGGGTGCCAGGGTCCAGGGCCTGTCCCCAGCATGCAGTCCTGGGCCCCGAGATGTGGGGAACAGGGCGAGGTGTAGAGGCCCGGTGGCTTCTCACATCCATTTAGAGAGTTACCTTAACAGGTGGTTAAAAAGTTGATTTAATTTTTGCACCAAAACTGGCAGCAAAAACAAAGTGTGAAAGGAGGGGCAGAGGCGGGTCCCGCCTGGGGAGAGCAAGGCCGCTGCCTCTAGCTGAGCTGCCGTTCTTGTTCCCACAGTTCCTGGCATGGAACAGCCCTCCCCTCACCTCCGAGTTTGTGGGGCTCCTCCCGGCTCTGGTGGACGCTGGCACAGCTGTGGAGATGCTGCACATGCTGCTGGACCTGCCCTGCCTGACTGCCGCCCTGTACCTGCAGCTCAGGTGGACCCTGCTCTCCCCCCCCCCCGCCCCCTCCCCCCCATTACCACTCCAGCTCTCGCCCCCCCCCGAAAGCTGCCCCCACGCTGTGCTGTGCTGAGCACCCGCTCAGGGAAACCCCTGAGCCCTCCTGCCTGTCTTCATGTTCACAGGGAGGACCTCCCACAAGTCCCAAGGGTCCTTCCCTGTTACCCCAAGAAACTGATGTTACTGTGACATCTCTCTGATCATTGGTGACCCGGGGGCCAGGGACCAAATCTGGTGCCAGGAGCCGTATTAGCCAAGCCTCGTATTCTCTGCTTTCACACAGATCATCATCATCCCCATCTGAAAGGCCCCTGTGGGACGCCTCTCTCAGGACTCCCGGCTGCCTGGAGGCCTTCCGTGACCCGCAGTGCCAGGGTCTCTTCCAGCACCTGCTGCGCACCAAAGCCAGTGGCTCCGCAGAGAGGTGGGGCTCAGTGACCGGGCAACTGTCATCAGGGTGGTGCTCCGTGTGGGGCCCTGTGTGTTCCCTGTCTCACGGGACTGTGTTCCTCCCAGACCTGGGAGACAGCTGTGGCTACCACCCCTGCAGAGGACTAGCTCACATCGCGGGGTGGCCTCTAAGCACAGCCAGTCTTGGACCTGCTCCTTCAGTTTCCAGAACCCTGAGCTGGTGCTGTGAACACACCCTTTACAGACGGTGACACTGGGGCCTGGCACGCTCTGGGAGGGGGCAACCTGGGCAGACCCTGCGGCTCTGCCGGCCAGCCCCATTTTCCTGGGTGTGCTGACACCTCAGGGCTTCCCTGAGCCCTGTGGGTGGGTGTCGTCCTGAAGAGCAAGCAGACAGTGATGGGGACAGGGCCTGACACGAACAGTGGCGGGTGGCCCCCCGTGACCGACCACTGTGTCTGTCCTGTCCTTTCCTGGTGCCTGTGGAATTCCACAGGTGGGGGGCATTGGAGACACTGAGCGGCCCCACTGTGTCCCCAGGCTGACGCTGCTCCACCAGCTGCTGCAGCCCATGGCCAGCTGTGCCCGGGTGGCCCAGTGTGCAGAGGCAGTGCCCGCCCTGCTCCAGGCATTCTTCTCTGCTGTGATCCAGGTGAGCCCACTGTCCAGTTCCCCATTCCCGTGGGCCTCAAGCGGGGGCACTGGCCCAGTGTGAGGACTGTGGCGCTGCCCGTGACCTCTGTAGACGGCTATCCTGCTGCACTCTTTGGCTGCTCTAAGGGTCAGAAATGGAGAGGGTGCACTCCACAGCCCTAGCCAGGTCCTGTTCCCTGTCCCCAGGGCAGGGTTAAGTGGCTTTGAGGGGCTGGTGGCCCCAGCTAGAGCCAGCCGTGTGTCCCAGAGCTCCAGGCTTCTTGCATGCAGGTGGCTCCCACTGGCTGCACCCACGGAGCTCAACCCAGGTGGGGCCTCTGGAGACAGGCTGGTCACAGCGGGGCTGGATGCGGGCTGGGCAGCCTGGGCAGCCTGGGCTCTGCTGCAGCTGAGCGAGACTGCACCCTGCCTCGCAGGCCGGCTCCTGCAGGGGGAGCCACAGGTCAGGAGTGGGGTCCTGCCAGGGCACCTGGGGCCAGGGATTTTTTCCCCCTCCCAGTCAGCCCTCCCCCAGCTCCCCTCGCACGCACCCCTCACTCTGCCTGCATCGTCCTGAGTGCTGGGGGAGGCCACTCAGAAGGAAGGACAAGGGCCTCCCTTCCAGCTCCTGGGTCTTCCCCTCCCGCTGTTGTGATGTCCAGAAAGTGGTGTCCAGTGTGTCCATATTTTGCTCTTGACCCACAGTTTGCTGACAGGGCCTTGACCACCCAGCTGGCACTGCTGCTCCTGGAGAGAAGCGACTCACTTTACCAGGTCCCACAGTACGAGGCCCGCGTGCACAGGTGGGCCTCACCCCACGGTGGGAGCAGGTCCCACACTGAGCAACCCCGTCTCAGACCCTCCCTCCCTCCCCTTCCACTGCTGCAGCTCTGCCCCCAGGCTCATCTCCCCTCCCCTCCTGGCTGTCCCCAGCAGCCTCAGATCCTGCCACGCCCACAGCAGCCCCACGTGCACCCCCAGCCTTGCCCCAGCCCAGCCCCCAATCCAGAATGTTCTCTTGTCCTTCCCTCCCCTAAGCCTGTTTCCAGGGCCGGCTTAAGTCCTCCTTCCCAACCCTCTTGCCCTCTGGGTCATTTTTTTCCTAAAGGCCTGACAGGCCTCCCTCAAGTCCAGGACTGAGGACAACACAGGCCTGGTCACCTCTCCAGTGAGGCGAAAGGCCCTGTAGGGGTGGGGAGGATCCTTATCTTCTGACTTTTGGGTGAGGATTCACCTGCACCTGGCCACCCGTGGCTCCGGGGTCACCTCCTGGCTCTTAGGCTGGATGGGCAGGCCTGGGAGTTGCAGAGCTGCGTGGAGCCTGGACGTCTTGCTCTCCGGGCAGGGTGCTGAGCTCTCAGTTCCTGGCCCTGTGTCAGCGGAATCCCTCCCTGGTGGTGGAGCTGGCCAGAGAGCTCCTGGAGTTCGTGGGAAGCGTGAGCAACATCCACAGCAGAGCAGGCGTGTTCACCAGCGTGGTAAGCTGGCCTGGCCTCTCCCGCCCTCTGCTGACAGAGGAGGGTCTGCAGCAGGGGCTAAGCCTCCGTCCTGGGCTTAGGTGTGGGCCATCGGCGAGTATCTGTCAGTGACCTGCGACAGGCGGTGCACCGTGGAGCAGATCAACAAGTTCTTCGAAGCCTTGGAGGCCTTACTGTTTGAGGTCACCCAATCCCGCCCCTCAGCAGACCAGCCCAGGCGTCCACCACAGGTTGTCACTGTGCTCATGACCACACTGACCAAACTGGCCTCCCGGAGCCAGGACTTGATCCCCAGGTACTGGGTTAGGGAGTGGAAAGATGGAAACCCTGCTTTCCTTGGGGAAGAGACACTTCTGATGTCTGTCCTGGTGTTGCACAGGGTCCTGGCTGGGGGTGGGCACTGCCAGGCTACAGCCAGGCCACCATGTGCATCAGGGGTCTGGACCCCTCCATGAAGAGGGGTACACTGCAGCTGATAGGCTTGGACCTCCTTGTCCCCAGGGTCTCTCTGTTCCTGTCAAAGATGAGGACCTTGGCCCAGGGCCCAGCTTCCAGCTCCACACACAGTGAGGAGGATGCAGAAGCCATCCGCATCCGGGCCACTGAGCTGCTGAACCTGCTGAAGATGCCCAGCGTGGCCCAGTTCGTGTTCACACCTAGTGCAGAAGTGTGCCACCCTCGCTATCACCGTGACACCAATACATCACTGCCCCTGGCCCTGCACATGGTCAGCAGGCTGGTGGAGAAGGAGTCCAACCTCCTGCCAGGGTGAGGGGACATTGACCATATGGACATCGGCTGCAGATTAAGAGCCTGAGGTTCGCCGGCCTGGTATTAGGGCCAAGCCACTGGCTTTGGTGATAAGAGGAATCAGGGAGGAGCAAGAGACCTCCTGGGACAGGAAGGTGGCCCAGGTGGCTCAGCCCCTCAGGGGTGTGTCTGACCCTTGCCTCTGTAGTTGGTGGCCTCATGATTTCTCTGGGCCGTCTGGAAGCTGCAGACCCTGCCCCATTGTTCCTATTTCTGGACAGTTTGGCAGCGTGAGAAATACAGTATGAATAAACCTTTAAAAGCTTGTGTGAGTAGCTGCAGGTTCTTTTCCCTCTTCTCTCCTGCACCCCTACAGGAGGACAGCGACCAGGGAGTGCAGCAGTTGCCCTGAGCTGCTGCCCAGTCCCAGGGCATGGCTTGGCCAGACAGGCAGGGCCTGCCCTTCCCACTGCACCAGCCCTACCCACTGCACCAGCACCCCTACAAAAAATAATCCATCACCCACAGGAAGCAGTGTGTCCCCTGTTATTAACGGGACATGGACAGGTTCCCTGTTTATTTCCCTCAGTAACTTGAAGGCACAAGTATGAGGTCTTGACATAGCAGGGGACAGCTGGAGTGCTGTCACCTTTGCAGGCTCCCACCACCTGCCACGGGCAGCCCTTCTCAAAATGCTGGGCCCAGGACTGAGTGTGTAAGCCACAGAACCACCTTCTCCCCCTCCCCACCCCCCACCTACCCGCCCAGGAGCCCGTGGTGGCCCCAGGCTCTGCCCGACGCTGGAAAGCATCGGCCACGAGGTGGCGCTGCCTCCCGCGGGCCTCTTGGCCAGCCCAGGCGGCCTTCAGGCCCCGCCCCCGGCGCTAGACTCCCGGTGGTGCGGAGGTCAAGGCGGGGAGGTTCTGCGCCCACGTGCCCCTCCGCCCTAACCTAAAGGGTCCTGCGAAGATACGGCCCCGGCCCACGACCTCCTGACCCAGCTCATCCCACCCTCCCCGCCAGCTGGGGTCACGGCCAGGTTAAGAGGAACTCTGGGACAGGTGTGTCGCAGAAGCCCTCACCGTGCCTACATGTGCCGATTAGCCCTGGTGAGGACAACCACCCTGAAAGCCGGGGACTGAGGAAACTGCGCCTGCACAGTTTAGAGTATTGCGTTTGTCGTGTTCACATGTAGAATGCAGATGGCATGTTACCTTGCATGGCGCACACAGCTTCAGCCATGCGTTTGGGATGTGCCCAGGGATGACTGGAGAGGGCGCTGCACTCCTCCGGCCAGCGCCAGCCGGGCTGGTCCTCTGGCTGAGAGAGAAGAGGCAGCCCAGCCACTTTCCCATCCCTAAGGAAGTCGCGTGGTGCCTTTGCCCCCTCTCCTGACCTCACCTGGTGGCTCTGGACTCCCTGGCTGCTCCAGGGACCCACGGGCTGGCACGTTTTCATATCTTCTTTTAGCACCAATATCATAGACCTTCCTGTGAATGCTTGATCACAAACACATATGGCTAGAAGTGTTCAAAGTGTTTACTTTTTTAAATCTTGCCCCTCATCCTGGACGTTGAGATTTGCCCTGGTGGGCAAAAGCAGTGGCAGGTCAGCCAGCCTGCACTCACAGTCGTGTTCTTCATCCCTCCACGTGCTCATGTTCTGCGAGAAGTGTGATTTCACTTAAGATGTCCTCGATGAAGCAGTTAGCAAATTTTAACTTTATTCAATACTTCCCTGGGACACAAGCTCTTCTAATACCCGCTGTGACTACATGGGGCACGCACTCCAAGCCCTGGGCCTCTTAGACACAGACTGCCCTCAAGCCTCGCGGTGTGGGGGCCTGTGCAGGGCTCTCTTGTGAGTTGAGCCTCTTTTATTTTTTTTAAGCCAACACTGTTATTTGAAAGAAGGACAAGCTATGCAGATGTGGGTATTTGGCAGACATTGCTAGGAAATGAATAAAACACTGGGTCACTTGAAGGAAAACAACAGAGAGTCTTTGTTGCCAGTGATAAAATCAGAGTTCTCAAATCCAAGTTGGAATTTCGGAAAATGTGCACCTGGGCTGTTATACTTCCCAAACTAAAGAGGAGGTTGGTCTTGATTTTCATGAATGGGATTTTAAAAACACTGCATGAAATGTCCCTTTTTCTCTCTCTTTCTAAATTAAACTTCTCTTCTCCATCTTTTTACCTCTCTATGCTTAACCCCAGATATATTATTCAGACCTTTTTTCAGTTCACTAATCCTCTTTTGTGACTAAATCTCCTGTTTAATTCTTCATTAATGTTTTAAATGTCACTGACTAGATTGTAGGGAAATTTGTATAACTCTAAATATGTACTAGAAACCACTGATAAATTCTATGGTATTTGAATTATATGCCAATAAAACTTAAAAATGTTCAATGACAAAAAAAATCGCTTAAAATTGTTTAAAAAAATGTTCAATAACTATAGTTTGCATTGCTTAAAGAAAGTTCTAGTTGTTGTACTTACCACTGAGCTTTATCCCTGACCTTTAATACCATCACCTCTGACCTATGCACAGCAATTTTTTTTTTGTTGATTACCATATAATTTAATAAGCACAGATTCATTTACCACCTAGCACCAGAACTGGGACCCAGGTGACATCCTACGTCTACCCAGGTTCTCCTGGCCATCCATTCTCCCGTTCTGCCATCCCAATCCTGAGCCATTAGTTTCATCGACTTCCTTGAAATGTAGGATCCCCCACATACATAAATAGTATCCTTCAAAATATACTGTTTCCCTTTAATTTTAGCATTACAAAATAATATCACACTGCAATCAATCTTTTAGGGATTTTTTTTATCTTTTATTGATTTTTATTTTTTTAATACATGACAGCAGTGGAATGCATATAGAGCACAATTTTTCATATCTCTATATATAGAGTATGTTCACGCCAATTCGTGCCTTTATACATCTACTTTGGGTTTTTTGCATCGCAATTTTAATACACATATATACCACAATTTTCATATCTCTGTATATAAAGTATATTGACACCCAATTCGTATCTTCATACATGTACTTGGATAGTGATGTCTATCACATTCCACCTTCCTTGCTAATCCCCTGCCTCCTCCCTTCCTCTCCCACCCCTCTGTCCTATCTAGAGTTTGTCTATTCCTCCCATGCCCCGCCTCCCTACCCCACTATGAGTCAGCCTCCTTATATCAGAGAAAACATTCAGCATTTGTATTTTGGGGATTGGCTAACTTCACTTAGCATTATCTTCTCCAACTCCATCCATTTACCTGAAAATGCCATGATTTTATTCTCTTTTATTGCTGAGTAATATTCCATGGTGTATATATGCCACATTTTTTTTTATCCACTCATCTACTGAAGGGCATCTAGGTTGGTTCCACAACTTAGCTATTGTGAATTCTGCTGCTATAAACATTGATGTGGCTGTGTCCCTGTAGTATGCTGTTTTTAAGTCCTTTGGGTATAGTCCAAGGAGAGGGATAGCTGGGTCAAATGGTGGTTCCATTCCCAGATTTCTAAGGAATCTCCATACTGCTTTCCAAATTGGCCTCACCAATTGGCAGTCCCACCAGCAATGTATGAGTGTACCTTTTTCCCCACATCCTCTCCAACACTTATTGTTGTTTGTCTTATAGGGATTATTTTCCATTCACATGTTACATTGGTAAGAGTGAGGGGCGTGGCTCTGCTACAGTGCTTGCCTGGTTTGTGTGGGGCACTGGGTTTGATCCCCAGCACTGAAAAAAAAAAAAAGTCTGCCTCCCAGCAGGTAGCTGAATTCACTCCACCAATTAGAATTGATGACACTCTGCTCCAAGATGCCAACATCTCACCTGGGTCACTGTGATAACCTCCTATCAGAGTTTCCTGCTTCTGTTCTCAGTGCAAATGACAATACAGTTGGTCACTCAATGCAGCTAAAAATAATTCTATTAAGTCTCATAGCTTCTTTGCTCCCAAGTCTCATAATAAATTCTCGTCTCACCCAGACTAAAATCCAAAGTCCTTGGGCCCCCAAACACCGTCAGCCAATTGTCCACAACTCCCCTTGATGGCTTCAGCCTCACTGGCCTTCTGGTCCTGTTAAGTCACAAATGCGCCCAGTCTAAATCCTTTATGTGTGTTGCTCCTCCTGGGAGTGCTCTGCCACCCAGACACCCACTGGCTTGTTCCTCATCTCCTGCTCTTTGCACTGATGACACCTTATCAATGAATTAATAGACACACTGCAAATAAACTACTGCCCCCCTCCCCATCCTCCTTCTCCACCCACACGCTGCCCATCTCATCTAGCTGCACTGTTTTCCTCTGAAGCATGGATTACTGTGCACTCTGTCTTAACCTATTATTATGGGTTAGCTATGAAGGGTCCCCCAAAAGCTCATGTGTGAAATAACGCAAGAATTTTCACAGGCGAAATGATTGGTGTAACTAACCTAATCGGTGAATTGACCCACTTATATGGGTTAACGGGGTGGTAACTGTAGGCAAGTAGGGGGCTGGAGGAGGTGGGCCACTGGGGGTGTGCCTTTGGGGTTTCTGTTTTGTCCCTGGGGAGAATAATGCTGCCCCTCGATTTCTCTCTCTGCTTCCTGTTTGCCGTGTTCTGAGCTGCTTTCCTATCATGCCCCTCTGCCATAATGTTTTGTTCTGCTTCATCTGGGGCACAGAATTGTGGAGTAAGCCCACCATGGACTGAACCTCTGAAAGTGAGTCAAAATCAACTTTTCCTCCTCTGTGTTGTTCTTGTCAGGTCTTTTTGGTCACAGTGATGAAAAATCTGACAAAAACATCTATGAATTTGTTTATTGTCAGCCTAGGGAAAAAATGGTATTTAATTTCCAAGATGTCAAGGAAGGATGGTCCTTGACTCTTTGGCTCATTCATATATCCTAACTGATTTTCTACCTGTTTGATTTACCAATTACTGAGATTTATGCTTAGGCCTCCCTTTATGATAGAGGATTCATCCATGTTTCCCTCTGATTTTTGCTTTATGTATTCTGAAAAAATGTTATTAGGTGCATCCAAGTTTAGAGTTGTTTCAACTTCCTGGAGAACTGAATGTTAATTACTTTATCCATCTGATATATCTCTGTCCATCGTTTTAGCTTTAATTTTTATACATTCTTTTGTTTTATGTTTATTATAAATATTACATAGATAGATTATGTTTATCTAGTTTGATGATCTTTTGACTTTTAACCAGTCTCAGTCCATTTGCATTTGCTGTGATTACTAATAATTTTGGATAAATTTCTACTATCTTATTTAAAAGTAAGTACCTTATTTT